AGGATTGTTCGGTAAGGAAAAGGACATGGAACCAATAGAATTGATAGACAAACCTTGGCCATTTCCCATGAAGACTTGCTCAGTTCCAGGTAATGAAACGGAATCAGACAAATTAGAGGCCTCAGGAGTAACATGATGAGAAGCCCCTGAGTCAGGATACCACCATTGATTATTGAAATTAGTTAGTTCTATATTTTCTGTTATTCTAGATTGCTGAGCTGTTCAAGTTTGTTATAACAGACTCAGTTAGTTAGATCTAGATAAGGCTTTCCCTTTCTCTCTATATATAGAGAGCTCCCTGTATCTCTTGATTCATTAAATACAATGAGAGATTCTCAATCTATTCCAATTCTCTCTATCTTCATTTAAAATGATCTTTGATGTTAATGACCTAGAATTCGCTAAAGATCAAAATTTCAAATTGAATCTGTAGTGGTGATAGGACAAATGTCTTTGGAAAATTTTAAAACTTGCTGGTATTGGTTTGAGAGTGAAAACTGTGCTTTCTTGCTGAAGAATGTTAGTTGGATTGTTGGTTTCTAATGCATTAAGATATCTATGCAGGTTAAAGTATCAAGGCAGCAGCTTGAACTGGCTAAAGTATAGGAGTTCACTTCACCAACTTCATATTTTTTATATATGAAAAAAGGTTTACCGTATGACCTATGACTCGGGTTCAATTCATTTATCACATAAGTGGAAAGGGGAAAAGGCAACAGTTGGCTTTAACTCATCTTGTACAATGTTTGGGACAGTTTCCTAACCATTTCTATGCCCTGTATTCTATTTGATGATGATTATTTTCCATTGACAATTTGTTACTGACAAGATTAACTTTTCTACCATTCAATATCTCTTTGCCACCAACAAATTTGTCCACCCTTTTGGCTTCATATCCTTCTCTCTAAAACGAGAGTATCCATGAACATTCATTGGGTCTGCTAGATGATCGTCTGCATATATTGTTCACCCTTTTGGCTTCATACCGTTCTCTCCAAAACGAGAGAATCCATGAACATGCATTGGGTGTGCTAGATGATCGTTTGCATATATTGTCCACCCTTTTGGCTTCATGTTATTCTCTCTAAAATGAGAGAATCCATGAATTTCCATTGGGTCTGCTAGTTGATTGTCTGCGTATATTGTCCACCCTTTTTTGCATGGGTTAGCGTGATTGATCTAACAATATTATTCTGAAACTGCAGGGAAACAGGAGGGAGACACGGTTGTTGGGTATTCTTTCTTTTGTACACAGTACAGTGTGGAAAGTACTATTTGGAAAGGTTAGCCACTTTATCAGAATATGATTATATTTCCCTATTGACCCCTAATTTACTATTCATTGGACAGGTAAATTATATGTTTGTGTTACAAAATGGCATGAACTGTCCTTGCTTAAAGAAACGAGTTTTGACCCTTTTCCATCATGAAGTAGTATGCCTTTTAGAATGGAAAATAGGTTCTATGAAGCTTTATGTTGTTCAGAAAAGAAAGATATTCATTATAATCTTGAAATCAAGATTATCATAAATGTGAAACGTGCAGGATATCATTAAATGATTAGATAGACTATTTCAAACAAAGCTGTTTTTGTTGTTCGTTCTAGAAAGGCAATGATTGTTGGCTTTAGCAATCTGGTGCGCGTATTCACAATATTTAACTGGTTTGATTATTGAGGTTCACCTTGATCTGGTTTTTGGGATGGGGAAAAAGGCTAATCAGTACCAATTTAAAGACTCTATAGATGAATATATACTGTGCTATTGTCCAACACTTGATTGGCCACAAGCGTATATTCTACTACTAATAGATGTCCTATTGAATTAGCGATCCTTAGTTGTTTACATGGATTGAATCATCAACATGTTGACACAGTCTTGCTCCTTGATTAACATGTGTATTTTTTCAGAGTGTTCTATATTATAAAAAAATATGGTAGAAACCCGGCTTAGGTGGTTTGAGCATGTGAAAAGAAGACCTATAAATCATGTAGTAAGGAGAATAGATCAGATGAAGGGTAATCATATCCCTAGAGGCAGACATAGACTTCGAAAAGCTGTAAGAGAAATTATTAAGAAAGATTTAGAGATTAATTAATCGGATAGAGATATGATATATATGACAGAACATTATGGCGCCGTTTAATCTATGTAGCCGATCCTACTTACTGTGAAAGACTTGGCTGTTGCTGCTGTAGTGTTCTCTATGGCAATGATTTTCCATATGCTTTTTGGAAGTTCTTTGTTTTTCGGTCAACTTTACAGATCTGGTGCTGGAGTCCTTAAACACAAGCATGATCAGAATGCTTTAACTATGATAACCAATAATAACTTGTCCTGTATCTTGCAGTTATATTTGAGTATTTGACTGTGTTAGAATAAGTTCTTTGGTAATTTATATTCTGTTCTGGTTGCACCATATGCTCATTTTTTATGGAAATATCTTTTACTTGTTTGACAGCTCCGTTAGTTCAATATATGTTTTTTTTTTTTTGTCATTATATTAGGTAGCTGACTCATTGGAGAAAGGAACTGAACATGAAGATGAATACATGATCAGTGAAAAGGAACTCCTAGTAAACAAGTAATATTAAGCTCAACAATTATTCTGACTGTTAAACATACTGGATATTTTTACATTGATCAGTAGTAAACTGACGAGTATCTTGTTTATAGATTCATTTCTATCCCAAAGGACATGGGAACATTTAACTGCGGTGCATTCGTTGCCGGAATAGTCCGGGTGAGTGCTTCGGTGTCGCCCAGTTTCCATCAACTAGTTATCTGATTCTTTTAGAAAGGTCCAATCAATAGTTTTGTTTTGTTCAATTACTCAGGGTGTTTTGGACGGTGCCGGGTTTCCGGCTGTCGTAACAGCTCATTTTGTGCCCATGGAAGGCCAACAACGACCCCGGACAACCATTTTGATAAAATTTGCTGAAGAGGTAAAGTTGTCGTTGATTTTGTTTTCGTTTTTGATCAGTGCGAACATACTTTTTTAACTGATTGTTTGTTCTTGGGTTATCTTCCAGGTGTTACGCAGAGAAGCAAGATTAGGCTGATATTTATACTAATAATTTTCAATTAAGATATCTGTAATGCTGAACACCAATATAGAAAGATGTGAAAAGAATTTTAGGATTCTGACAAGCCTTATGTACTTCAAAATCATTTCTCTTTCTATTGTATTGTTATGCTTTGAAGCTGGGAATTGTTCTTACTGTACTAAAGTTTTTATTTGCTTGCTAGCTCCAGTTCATACTATGGTGAGAAAGCGAAATAGTTGAAAGTTTGTTTGGTTGAAAAACTTTAAGTGTATATTGATTGGTCAAACAAACTCTATTGACAATCTACATGTAGAGTTCTATTTTATTTTTTATGCTAAACTAAACATAACTTATGACGACAATAATCGGTTTAAGAAATGCTTTGGAATTCAAGGAAAAGTTCCAATGCACTCCTAAAATACAAATACAATGTCCCCTAAAATGAGTAAATAGATAATGGGTTAATTATGATATTAAATTCTATGAAATCAAGAGTTTTTAAATTAGATATCTAAAAAAAAAAGGACTATTTTGGGAATTTATATATTTTTTGTAAAAAAAGTAAAAAAAGAAGTGATTATTCTTACAAAATGTAATATGGTGGATACTTGCCATTTTAATTTGAGTTTTATTGAAACTAAATTAAAAACCTTGCAATTTTATAGAGATTGAAACACATTTAACCCTAGATGAATTAGTCTATGATATCTTGAGCATTAATCAAAATAATTTTGGTTTAAATGTATTTTTTTGTTCCTTTATTTAAGTGTTTTTAATTTTTTTTGTTCATTCTATTTTAAAATTTACTTTTTGTGTGTGTGTTTCTGATTCAATTTAAATAAATTATAATGTAGATTTTATTTCTATGGGGGTGTTTGAAGTCAAAGAGGTGTGTACTGATCCAAAATGGACCATCAACATCTGAAAGTCCATTAATTTTTTAAAAGAATCCATTTCAAGTTTAAAAATAGGAGGTGCATTGTCTTAATCAAAGGAGGTGTGAACAATTTTGTTTTTTGTTTAAAGGCCCAATGAATTAAAACGGTGTGGCCCATTTTAATTTTTCCCGTTTAGATTGTTTTTTTTATATATAACATTATTATTATTTTATAATTATTGACTACTATTAAATTATACTAATATTAATTTTAATTTAGATAGTGTATTATGAACTTAATTTAATTTGATTTATGTGTTAACGAAAAAAGAGCCTTCCTTTCCACGGTTTATTACCAAAGCCCACTAAAGATATTAAGATTTTGTTTTTAGAATAAATTAGGTGGTGTTAGAGCATCCCGTTTTTAAGACCCAATGAGTTAAACAATGTGGTCCAATAAGTGTTTTTTTGGTCTGTTTTGAAAAGGTTATTTTGTTTTTAGTTATAACAGTTTTTTATAATTATTAAACATTTTATTAAAAAAGAAATATTTGTTTGAAATGATAAGCAAGCGGCTCAAAACGCACAGTCCAAAAAGATTGCGAGGGCCAGAATCGGAATAACGCAAACAAGCATTGTTTGAATCACAAACAGAAACAAAATCAAATTGGAATCAATAAGCATATACAGAAACAAAAATCCAGAACTTATTAAATTGTTCAAATACTAAAAACAGAAACAAATTATCATCATTCAAGTCTGCAATTGCTTAATGGAGAAACAAATTAAGGGTGCTTACACAATTTTACAGACAAATTCAATCATTTCCTAAACCTAATACAAAACCTAATCAATTTCTAATTAAATTTCAGACAACAGTAATTTTATTTCCTAATTGACGAACCCTAAAATAGTATAAGAGAAAAAGGTTATTACGGAAACGGGGGTGGAAATCGACAGAGAGAAAACAGTGTAGAGGAGGAAGCCTCACCACTAGCACTGCCTAGGGTTCCAACATCTGGAACCCTAAATTCTAGTTGTTGTGCCACAATCACTATCCCGCCGCCGAGACAATCTTCACTGCACCGTCACCATCCTCGTCGTTACCGGCACCTGCAGAACGAAGGAGAAGAAAGGAATTAGGAATCGAAAACAGAATAGGACGGAGGAACCGGAACGAAAACTCAAAGAATCAAGGCCATAGAGGTGTTCCGACGACTTAGCTTTTGATGATGATGTTTTTTTTCTGTTTGATTTTTGATTCAGTTTTAAGTTTTGTATAAAGATGTAGGGATGTTGGGTTGTTTTGGTTTCGGGCGTTGTTGTCACTAGGTTTTGGGGGTGGGACTGTGTTTGTAATGTTTGAAAACGAAAGGGAGAAGAGAGATGAGAGGCGGGGAGGAAGAGAGGCAGCACGCCGCCGTGGTTAGATCTAGGGTTTGGTTTGTGTTTGGAGAGAGGATGGGACGATATAGAGTGAGAGAAGGGGAAAAGAAAATACTGAAACGTTTTCAGTAAAAAATATAATGTATATTATGTTAAGTTATTCAATACATCCTGCCTCATTTCATTATTACACACCCTCGAATCACAATCATTCGATCCTAATCACACGACCCTCAACGCGCGTCCCCACCGAGTTATAATAGGCCCTCCCACACGGAGTCCACATGGACTCCCAAACCGTGTTGGGCCTAAGCCCATACTAACGCCACCCTCATATTTCGTAGCAACGCTAAAACGCACCCCAATCTTATTTGGGCCTAGTCCAAAATCTGGACTAGGGCCCTACTGTTTGACACCCCTCTATTTTACTGGTTAATGCTGAAAAGCACCCCCTTGCCATTTTGGACCTGAATTCGATATCTGAATTCAGGCCCCTTCTATCAACACTCATTTATTTTATTAGCCTTATACACTTCACAACCCTCTACGTTTTTTTAATATTTTATTTTATCATTTTTTTTAACTTTTATATTTTCTAATTTTTATTATAATAATTATTACATATATTTTTATTATATATTATATTTTTATTTTAATTATTATTATATTTTTATTTTAATAATTATTATATTTGTTTTTATGTATTTAATATATTTAATTTTATACTTACTATTATTAATTATTACATAAATTATATTATTTTCTAAATTCATTAAAAAAAATATTATTTATTGCATTAAAGCTTATTTCTATTCATGCATTTAAATAGAACTCCTTTTTAAATAATTAACATAGTAAAAAACATCCAACCAATCACAAACCTATTTTTAAAATCAAATCTATTCAATAATCAATTTTCTCAAAAAGAATTACAAATCTATTCAAACCGACTGCGCGTTTAGTCTAATAATCTCCACTATTCACGACACCTAGACTAAACGTGCAGGAAATGCGTATATCTTTGTAATTCATAAAAAACACAAACAAAACTGCGAGCTACGAATTGAGACTCTGACTCCTCATAAGAGGATACGTAGGCATACGACTTAAAATCGTGACGAGTTCCCCTAAAAAATATTAAAACTATTTTTCCTAAAAATTACGCTTCTAAATTAGTATCCTTGTGAACAAGGTAGATGAGGGGTGTCTAACACCTTCCCTTCGTCTAGAACGGAATCAACAACCTAGAATCTCTTACATTTTAGGGTTAACCTTTATATTCCCTTCCTTAGGATAAAAATTAAGGATGACAATTCTATATTTAAAAACCAGTTGCAACAGCTGGCGACTCTGCTGGAGACTCAATCCTAGGTTTAGAAGCCTTATCTTCCGGTTTTAGGGTTTTTTAAGGTTTTTTTTTTGTTTTTTTTATATATTTGCTTATTTATGTATTTCTTTATTTGCTTTTTTTTATTATTCATTATATTGTTATATCTGTGGTGGGATTTAAAATTTTGCAAAAAATATTTTTATAAAAAAAACCTTAGAAAGAAGGTTCGTCTATTAGCCAAGGGGTTACATCATCCCTATGAGTTTATGCGACAACTTCGCATAGAGTTGGTGGAAATATTCAAAAAGAATACCTCTCGAGAGACATCCTCTTGGGAAGTAGGACTTTGGAATGACACTTATGACTCTTTGTACGACCTTTAAACAAAAAACTTATGATGAGACCTTTCATGACCTAGAGACGAAAGTTTCGATCTGTAAAGAGACTCTGCTTAAGAGAGGCTCTTCTGCCTTTCCCTCTAGTGTTATTCATGATACCCTTAATGGATCCACCTTATGGGGAGGGTAGAATATACGTAGGCAAAAACTAGGAACCTAACTTCTAAGCATATCTTTCACAAATCCCACTACAATCTGTAAACCCGCAGGGGTTATCTTTTCAGCCATTACTATCTCTAGCCCATAGGGCTTCCGTCTTTGTCGTAATCCCTATCTTGTAGGGCCTCTTCGTCGTCTTTCATTGGCCATAATCCTCAAGGAGTTTCTTCCTGTCACAATTTCCGAGTCAGTGTAGGGTATCGTCATGCCTATCATTAAACTTGTATAGAATACCCATACGTCTACCATCATACTACGTCTACATCAAATTATCTATGAAACTTTTTTACCTTAAAAGCTAAAAAATATACTTTTGCACACCCAAGTATTTTCATACATTTGCATAAAACTCATATCTCTTCCACTTATAGAAAACTTCCAATCGTAGTCCAACAAGGTGATTCCCAGATACTCAGAACGAACTCGAGACAGCTCACGAAGCAAACACAATGTTAGAGACAACAATGGAAGAAGGTCAACAAGCTACAACTGAGGACGTCATTACACCTCAAGAAAACACTCAGGCTCGACCCCGACCTATACAAGCTTCAAGTGAGAACCTTGATGTGCAAGAACACGCTGTTTTCCAAGATGGGTATACTCCATCTCACGAATCTATTGAGTACCATCAATTTTCATTCCCTGTGTCGAAACCCAAAGGGGAAAACCCGACCATGAATACTGAAGGGCCACAAGATACTGAGGACACCAAAAGATACCACATACTGGAAAAGAGGCTTAGTGTCATAGAAGGATAGGACACTTGTAGCTTTGATACTTCTGCTTTATGTTTGGTTGAAGATGTGGTACTTCCTTCGAAGTTTAAAATTCTAGATTTTGAGATGTACAAAGGAGCTAGTTTTCCTAAAACTCATTTAAAGATGCATGTTAGGAAAATGGAAGCATACCCACGCGATGGAAAATTGCTTATCCACTGTTTTCAAAATAGCCTTAGTGGAGCATCATCAAAATGGTATACACAATTAGAAATAAACCATGTTCCCACCTGGAATGACTTGGATGTGGCATTTCAGAAACATTATCAATACAACACTGACATGGCTCCAAGTCGTATACAACTGCAAGACTTATCTCAAAGGAGTAACGAATCCTTCAAAGAATATGCACAAAGATGGAGGGAATTGGTTGCTCGAGTACAACCACCCTTATTAGACAGGAGTTGGTAGACATGTTCATGAGCACCCTACGAGGTCAGTACTATGAAAACATTTTGGGCAGTATATCATCACGCTTTTCTGACCTAGTAGTGGCTAGAGAACGCATCGAGAACGACATTAAAACTGGAAAAATCCAAAGCGTCTCGAGTAACTCGACTAGTGAATCCCTTAGAGATTTCTAAGGGGAATAAGAAAATTAAACAAGTGCAATATAGGAAACTTATCAAGCTCAAGAAACTCCATCTCTTGTGCCTTATCATCAATATTCGTATGCAGTAGATGCTCAATGCCAACAACCACCCTTTAACCTTCAACACCAGCGGTCATGGCTTATACCAAAGAACCAACATGCTAAGATTTCATCTTGACATTGACGTCATAATCAACAGGTTCAGAATCGAAATAATCACCATCAACGCCCGAATCAGCATAGGCGTTCAAACAACTAAGAAAGGGAAACTCGCCAGTTTGACCCGATCCCTATGACATACAATCAATGATGGTCATATCTGGTCCAAAATTCATCAATAACCCCTAGACAAACCAGATCCATGAAGTCTTCATTTCCTCCATGGTACAACTCAGATGTTCAATGTGAGTTTCATGGCGGAGTAGCATGGCATTCGATTGAAGAATGCAATTCATTTAAAGAAGCGGTACAAGCGTTAATTGACAATAAGCAATTAACTTTGAAGAAGATGGCCTGCATATGATGGAAAATCCCTCACCCTGATTGGTGGATCACTACAGAAGCTTATCTCCAGTATAATTAGGCTTTATCATTTCAAATTGTAATTTCTTTCCTGCTAAGTGTTATTTGTTATAAACTTTGTACTCTTTGGTCAAGTAATTCGAGTAAAATAAGCATGCGTGTTTTTGAAATCAATTCATTCCACAAATAATCAATGACTTTCCATTTTCACTCTTCTTTTTCTATCTTCCATTACACAACTTTAACAAACTTCGATGGAGAATGATGAAAATACAAAATAATCAAATTTTGGTGACATATGCTTTTTAATAGTAAGGCTTAGCTGACGATGTAAGGCATTGTTTCAATTCCTAAACAATGGAGATATAAGGAGTTAATCTGTAGTAAACCCCCCTCGAGTCAGAAGTCGGAGTTCTTTCTATTTTCTAAAAACCCTTAATCTTAACCAGGGGTATGGTAGATTTCAATTAATTCGACAATGCATTCAAATCCCAGGAGAATCGAAGCGATCTAAGCCAAGGTTCAAGCATATCTCTTTCCTCGACACATCATTGAGAGAACAATCTAAGGAAAGATTCGAGCACATCATCTTCCTCGTGTTCATCATCCAAGGTTGAGGAGTCAACAAAGACAAAATCCACGACATCTGCTTCCCCGGTACATCAATCAAGAAGACGAAGCTTACAACAGTCAACATGACAGTCACAAGTGTCAAAAGCAAAAGCAAATAAAAAATTCAGAAGAAAAAATGAGAAAGCCTGCTAAGTCAAAGAAAATTAAAACTTAACTTAGGCAAAAGTTAGGGCATCCTGATGGATAAAAAAAAATTAAAAAAATCGGTCAGTGCAAAAATAAGGGATTGAAAACAATAAATTGGAGAACAATCTTATGACTGCCACCTCAAGAATCATCAAGGCTTATCATCAATGCTTGGATCTTATCAACTCTTGGATCTTGTTAATACTTTTTATCGATGCTTGGATCTTTATCTGCGCTTCTCATCATCTGCGCGACTACGAAATTTCTCTTGGGGATTAAACACATCTGTTGTATTAATTGAAATTAGGACTGAAGAACATCAAGGAGAATGGGGTGGGCTAAATAAATTTTGAGCCTTATATCTTTTGTTTCTTAAACCATGAACCATGGCCATGTTACAACCTTTAAAAACCCTAATTGAAGCTAGGTTCACTATGAAAGCATACTCGGAAAAATTTGTGTTAAATTGACTCCTATGTTTGTTAAAATCATTTATAACTACTTCACTTCTTCGAATATTCATCTTCTAATCTTCCATTTCTTTTCAAATAATCAATTTAGATTTCAAGAACTTGCAT